TAATGACTTACTTGATTTTCGGTAGAGTACACAATTTTAAATATTTTTAACAAAAGACACAAATTTTTTTTAAACTGAACGACTGATTGAAGTAACTGCAGGCAGAGGACTGAAATTTGGAGGCAAGTATAACTCCCCACCAACGATTCCCTCCCAACGACGACGCCAAAAACAGGTTTAAACTTGTCGGATGACGAAAAAACATGACGTAATCGAGAGAAGTGGGGTTAAAAACCGTTGAAATTCACGATGACGACGCGGAAAACAGGTTCAAACTTGTTGGATAACGTAAAAACATGATGTAATCGAGAGAGAGGCTAAAAAAACGTTAAAATTCAGAAAAAAAAATCTTACCCCCCGTCGATAAAACAGAACATCTATTCAGTATCAAACCGACTGTCAATAACATAGACCACCAATTGACATCAAACTTACCTCAAATCGATCAATAAACTTCAATACCTCCATTGAATCCCACCAGAGCGGCGTAAGTATCGATCTTTCTCGCATATACTTATACTACAAGTCATTTGAATATATACAAAATTCATCATCACATCAAATAAGTGCATATCACATCAACACCAAAGCTGATACACGGTAAAGGTATCAGCTCTGCTGTTGGGGTGGTAGCATTTTAACCTCAACGAAATCAATCAACAAATCGATGATAATCCCTTCAACAGTCGGTAAAAAATCGACCAACAAATCGATGATAATCCCCAACAACAGTCGGTAAAAAAAAACACAAAAACCAACCATCGATAGAGTAGACATCAAAAACCCATAATCCTATTGCCCAGATCTAGTATTGAACACAATCCTTTTACCCAGATTGCGTTTACCCAGATTTCTAAAACTAAGAATATCTTTTACCCAGGTATATTTATTAAATTTTATTCATTTATTTATTTATTTATTTACTTAATAAATAAATCAATAAATTCTAATAATTTTTTTAACAAATAAATTATGGCAAAAAAAGAAAAGAACAAATTGACGTAGAAATTAAAAAAAATTAAAAATTCGATTTTTTTTTTTTTATTATTTTTCGGAATAAATTTGTTTATTAAAAAAAAAATAAAAAAAAATTTGAAAAAAATTATCAAGAGGATGCTACCATATGACATCCGGGGCCTCGCCTTTAACAAGGATGAAAAAATCATCATTAAAATTACACAGTTTGCAATAGACATTAAAAGCACATCGAACCTAATTTTACTCATACTATCAATAAAGAATAAAACGAGAACCCCTCGAATTAATTTCAAAATTCCCACCAGAATACCCGCCAGCTGTACGCAACAACCCAAAAGTCAGCAGAGCAAACAATCCAGCAAGAGAAAAAAGGGTGCCAGAAACTCCACTCAAATTATTTTCATTCGAAAATACAAAATATACAAAGTCATAAATATCCGAAATGAAAACTATTCGAAATTAACAATATTTAAAGTTAATTATAGACAAAAGAATAAAATGAAACAGGCGAAAATTTAGTAATGAAATCTAGTCGAAACAACTCTAGTCAAAGAGCGATCTATACGAATGATAAATTGTTCGAAAGTTCATGCGGTAATTACCATGCGGTGCTTGCTACGTGGCCTCCAAGCGGCGCATCGCGGGAAACGCAGACCATAACACCAGCTCTGTAGGCGAACGACGTAGCCGATGCAGTGGGCCAACTACTCACTGCATTAAAATGCTGAGTTACAACAAGAAGTAATCTCAGAAGTGCTCCCCACAACCGGTCCTTTTCGGATGAGGACCATTCATCAGGTGGGAGGAGCACGCCGGACCCGATGAACGTTGACGACCCTGGCGCTTTAAGGATTAATTTTAAGTGGACAGAGGAACTACGAGTCGACCTTTTGGTGTGCTACCAACATAGCGAGCCGGGGGTGAGCGGTTATATGGTCCGGATGCACACTCTTTGGAGTAAAATGCATCCGGAGCTAACGCATTTTACGCCTAAACACCTGCGTAATTATGCCGCTTATCTTCGGCGTAACAGAAGATCGCTTGTGCCGGATAGAAGGCAGTCTAATAGACTTTCCTTTCCGGCGCCATTACACCAAGAGCGGCGCCGTTCCTCCTTGGATGACAACAATCCCTTTATAGGACGGCAAGTAAGTATATCTAAAAAGATAACTTACTCCCAACAACAGCTTGACGCGGTAAATGAAGATGTCCGTGCAAACATCCCGGAAGATTCTACCCTGCTCACTGTGAGCCAGGTTGTGTATGGTGCAGCAGTTTCGGCTTTTCCGAGAGAGAGACATCGTCTCTCGATCGAGGCAAGGTTGAGACAGCGCATCTCACAACTTGGACTCAAAATTGACAGATCCCGGAAACAGGTCTCTCGCATTCAGTGTGTGATAGAGTTTGAAACAACTCAAAGATCATACACGCCCCGAATCCGGTGCATTGCTGCAGAACTTCGGTGGCATCATCACACACTGAATAAGAGTACTCTTCTTGTCATCAAAGAAGAGTCTCTTAATAAATTGCGGGCTCTAGTAACTGCCAAAAAGTCACTAGAGAAAAGGCTGAAGCGGTTGGTTGACAACTCGTTGTTTCGATCCAGCCCTTTACGCTTTCTGACACCAAAGACCGATGTTACCGGGAACTATCCAACACCTGAGCGGGTGGAAGCTTTTTGGACTGAGTTGTATGGAGATCAACCAAACGTGAACGCCAATACTCCAGCTCTGCATGACTTCAAAGCATTCCGTCAGGAACACCGTAGACAGAATGCTCATGAAGAAAGCCCTGCAGTCAGTGTGGATGAAGTTCCTTCAGCTCTAAATGGCAGCAAAAATCTGGCTGCCCCGGGACCAGATGGCATTAATATCTTCTGGTGGAAGAAGTTCACTTCTACCCACCTTCACCTGGCCCGCATATTTACATCGTACATAAGAGCTGA